TTTTACCATGTATTTTGCTTGGTTGTGTTGCGGTATGTTGCTTTCTTCTCTTCTCCTCATGATTCAAGTGACTAACCTTGTCTTCCCTATCGTTTCAAATAACGCGAACCTTAACGTCTTCATAATCCCACAACAAACAACAAAAAAACAAACCAGCCACCGTCGTCAACTTTTTCATTATCACCTTCCCAATCGACCCCGCCAATCCCACCCTCACCATCCCCATCGCTCAAGTAACCTTTGGTTTCCTCGGTCTCCTCTCGGTTGTCGCCATGATCGTCTTCAGGGAAGCAACCTTCCCTTTGGTCATTATTTGGGCACTCTCGTCAATCCCTTACTCTTCCACCGCACGCGCTTACCCTGGTCCGGGAGCCGATGCCGTTGCGTTCACGGCCAACATGACGGCCATTTTGGTTACGCTGGCTGTTACGCTTTGGACTTTTGTTCAGCTTGTTAGGTTCAACAGGAGGGTTGAGGCTTGAGGCTTGAGGTGATTTCTGGTGTGGTTTTTGGTAGAGGAGATGCAGGATATCTTTTATTTTGTGGGAAACGTTGAGGTCAAATGTATTTTCTTATGTATGGTTTTCTTCTTTCTCTTTCTTTTTGTGTGATCCCTGCAGTAAATATGATGAATGAGCGTCTGTTGATTCCATCCATGGATTGTCAGAAAAAATTTGGTGATTCCTCATTCTCCAGAGAGCATGCAGCCCAAAGTTATTGACCTAAGGGTGGTTAATTTCATAGCATTAGCCCTCCAGATCCTCGCAAGCCTCGGCTTCTTTGCAAGAATCGTCGGTGGGTCCGATGGTGATGGGGACGAAACCGGAAATCCGGACCTCGTTTGGATCTTCCCTGCAAGATATGCATTCAACATTTTCCCTGTTATCTACGGCCTCTTGACTCTGTTTGTGCTCTACCAACTGTTGCCACAAACTATGAGAAAGGTTGATGATGCATCCTTGTTTGCCGGTGCAAAGTACCTCATTGATGAAAGGGTGTCCTTTCTATTCGGTAAGATAGCACCTGTTTCTTTCACCCTCGCAGCTTACCAAACCTAGCTCTCAGCGCCATCTTGAATGTGTTTTGGATGACCTACATTACAAGTCTTCCGTTGACCCTGAGCTTTGTCATTGTCTTGGCCGTCATTTACTGGAGGACTTTGCCACCTTCAAGATTGGCTTTCAGATTGGAGGAGGAAGAAACGCTGCCCCTCATCCGCCACGAGCTTTCGAGTTCAAGCAGACCTCATGATTCCGTTCTTTCCTTTATTGCCATTCGCCTTCCTTTTGCGCTCTATTTTGCGTGGATATCGTTCGGTGAGTTTTTATATTTTGTTTACTATTTTATTTTATTTTTGTTGTTTTGATATCACGTCATGACTCTACGATTTTGACTATTTGAATCCGGGAGGAATCAAATTTAACACATGATTTCATTCGATGATGAAAACAAAATGTAGCCGCTGCTGCCAACATCCTCATGGTATTCGCCCCCATCGATCCCACTAATCCCGATTCAACCGTGCCAATATCCCGATTCATCATTGTTTTAATGGGCTCGTATTCACTGTTGGCCTTGTTCCTCCTGAATGACCCTATTCTGCCGTCGGTGGCCGTGTGGACAATATCTTCGATACCATATTCCATAACCATCAAGACGTATCCTGGTGAAGGGGCCAACGAGATGATCCTGACCGCGTATCAGGTGTCGGGGGTGATGATGGTGTGCATAGTGGGTTGGTTGGGAGCGTCGTTGGTTGTGGCAGTCCGAAGAAGAATGGGTAGAGATGTCGGTTCGACTTGACCTGTCCTTTCTCTCGTTATGTTTTGATTCTATATCTGTTTGCATGTTTGGCAAAACCCTGTATTATATGTTATATTGATTGAATGAATGTACTTAGCAACTCCATTTTTTATAAAGAGGACTGTATGTAAAAAAAGGGGGTTGGAGAGAAAATAAGGCAAGAACGGGTAGATACTCCACACAGATAATTATTATGAAATGGCAGGTTTATTAGCCAATAGATGCGGTAGAAACCAAAGTAAATAATCCAGCCAATCATATCTTGCCGGCTCTATGTGAGTCAATATACTTGACTTCAAATTTTTTTTTATTTTTTTCCAAATTGAATACCCCCCAATCCAATCCCCCTCCACTCCACATTCCTTCCTCTGCCAAAAAATCAAGTCCATCCATCAAAGAGTGTGAGCGGACAACCATCAGCCATCGACCAATCCTCCGTTAATTATACCTAATTCCATCACCTCCAAAGGGATACGGTAGCATCCAATCCTTTAGGAGCAGCAGGATAATTCAGAAACATCAACCTATCTATCAGCCGCAGGAACAAAAGAACATCTTGACACCTTCCGTGGGACCTTAAAGATGTGTTATGTTAAAAGTGCTCCTGCGTTTACGCAGCAGCAGCAACAGCAGCAGCAGACTCAGCAGCAGATCCTCAACCAGGCGGCCGCCTCTGGCCCCGTCAAGGCCGCTGCCCCCTTCTCTTTTGCCGACCTTTCCCTTGGTTAGTTTTTCTCTCTGGAATTCGGAATTCAGTTGGGATTGACGGATTGGATGGTCTCTTTGGGACAAAGGAACAACGAACGAGAGATACTACAGAAAAAGCGCAGGACGAGGCTGACTTCAGTGAGACTGTTCAAGAGGGGTTTGAAAGCCTTGGATAGAGTTCTAGTATCGGTTTAGTGATCGTCCAACTTTTTTTTGGGTTGGTCGATCACTTTTTTTACCCGTCGCCGATCTCTGGTACATTGCCCACACAGACTTGCAGACACCTCGCGGGATACTTTGGAGCAATAGGACCTTGATTGAATAGTAGCCTGAAGGGGAGAATTGCTGCCCGAATTTTTTTTTTCTCACGGGATCCCATATTGGAAGAATCATCGGCTGTCATCATCATGATCTCCGGGATATCGAATGCTTCTATGCCTCAATGATGGACGAAATGATGGTGCTAATCTGTGATTACCCTGCCCCCCTCCCAAAAAACAGACAACTTCAACGAAGCGTCCTGGCTCAGCAACGATGCCGACTCCATCCTCGGCAACCCCTTCAACATCCTCGGTGAGACCGCCACTATGGACTCGATGGACTTTGGATTGAACCTCAACGCCAACGCCACCGAGGATTTCCTTCCCTGGCTCGAGTCCATCACGGCCGCCACCCCTGCCGCGGCCATCGCCGCCACCGTCGACCAGCTCCCCTCCCCTCCTCAGTCGTCCTCCCCCGATCTGATCATGAACATCAAGCAGGATCCCTCGGCCAGCCCTTACCTCCCTTCCCCCAACTCGGGAGCATCTGACACCTTTTCCCTGACCGCCTCCTCTGTCTCCCCTGCTCCTGAGGTCGCCCCTCCCTCCACCTTTGTCGCCTTGGCCCCCGCCTACGTCACCCCTGTCCTTCCTGCCCCCGCCAAGAAGGCCGCCCCCATTGTCAAGGCATCCACCGTCACCCCCGCTCCTGCACCCGCTGCTGCCAAGAAGACCACCGTCAAGAAGCGGGCAGCTTCTGAGGAATCCGAGGATGAGGAGGTTGTTTTGAAGAGGATGAAGAACACTGAGGCTGCCCGTCGGTCTCGTGCCCGCAAGCTTGCCAGGGTATGTTTTTTCTTCTTTTTATGGGAAAGCGTACCTAATTATTTTTAATTTTCAAAGCTCGAGTGCTTGGAGGGCGAAGTCAGCGCTCTTGAACACGACAAAGCCACCCTCCTCGTTCGTCTCGCCGTTCTCGAGAGCGAGCAGGCCACCTTTGCTCAGGTTTGAATATTTTTCTTTTTCTTTTGTGTGCAATACGGGCCTAATGATCTAATTGGTGGGTACAGAGAGAAGCTGACCTCAACAAGCGCATCACTCAGCTCGAGCTCCAACTTGCCGAATCTCACCGCGCCATGGTCCTCGGCATGCACCGTTAAAAACAACACCTTTCCCATTCGTTTTTTGCCACCTTACTTTTCCCCTCACCTTTTATTCTGTGTTTTTGTCTTGTAGTTTTTTTCTTCTTTTTCTTTATTTGGTTTTCTTCTGGAAGAAGGACTTTCGGATTCCGAGAAAGTGAAAAATGTGAGCTGTGAAAAGCGAAACATTCAGGATTTCTTTTTCCTCACCGTACCTGTGTTTTTGTTGCCACCCCGCATTGCTTTTCTTGTTTATCTTTGTTTTGCAGATTGATCCCCTTTTTGACTGTTGTTGTTATGCACCATAACCCGTCCCCATCTCCCGAAAAGGATCTTTTCTTCACTTTCTTCTTTCGTTCCTTCCCTCTTCTTCTTTCTTTTTCTTCCTTTTGCTTCATCACCCGATTGTTTATTATTCCTTGGAAAGGTCCATTTTTTTTCAACCCAGAAAAAATCAAAACTCAACACAACAAAAACCGCTCTGTTTTCTTTTCTTGTTTTTGGTTTTTGTTTTTTTGGTGAAGGCCTTTCCTTTTCGTCTTGCGATTATCATTTGAATGTTTTGATGTATCTTTTTTAGTTGATTTTAGTTGAATGAAAACAAACAAACAAACAAACAAACAAAACAAACGAATGAAGTCCTCGCGTGAGATTTCAAATTTCCGACGCTATCTTTGCTCACAGATGTTGAGGAATACCATCATCGGCTCGCCCTTCATCCGTCCTTTTATCTTTCATATTTAGCCCACAGGCAATATTAATCCTACTTTTCTACTGGAGACCCCGATACTGCTATTCAAGAACTTCAGAGTGGAAAGAAACCACCTCTTTGGCAGCCTTGAATGATTTTTGAGTTTTACTTTGAGGGGGTTTTTTTGTTGAGGCGGTTTCGACCGACTTTTTGGTGCTGCGAATTTTGACGGACATCGGAACGTCAACCAAAGCGCGGCGGCCACGGCACAGTATCGACGCAGAAGGAGGTTGAAAACTCTCAAGAACAGCAGAATTTGAATCAACGAGGAATACCTAATTTGGATTTTACGGCTAATGAAAAACAACCAAAAAAAAACAAAGGAAAAAAGTGATTTGCCCCCGCACGGGATTGAACCATGGACCTTTTGCTTACGAGGCAAACGCTCTGCCACTGAGCTACAAGGGCAATACTTGTCATACCTGTGACGGAATTGTCCCTTATGTTCCTGCCTTTCATGCCCTGCATACTTGGCTTGATTCTCACCTTCCTTTTTCGTT